CCATAATACTCTCCTAAAGCAAAAAAAGGAGAAACCCTACTCTTTTGCGTTCAAAGCCTAGTCTTCATATAGCATTTACTTTCTGGCCCTGCCCTCCTTATCATGTCCCAGGATTTTCCATTATGACCTGTCATTTGCCATAAAAATAATTTTATTGTGTTATAGTGTCCAAGGAGATAAGATAGTGTCAAGGTCTGTACATAATAGGTACTGATTACAGAGGTTAAGAGGCTCTTAGGCAATTTGATTACCAGTATCATCTGACCTGATTTTAAGAGAATTTTACTTTAACCCAAGTTTGGTTATCATTTTCCACAATAGCTTTCATTTTCAAAATCCAATTCCATCTGGAAACTGTCCAGATGTTATAAAGTTGAATATCTGCCCCATTTGTTAAAGTTAACTTGGAATTTTAGAGTGAGCTTGATCAAAAGGTCTGGGATGAGAGAGAAAGCCTTTTCTAGAATTTTTTTTTCTCTTTCAGTCATCATTTTGATGTCAGTAAATAAATATTCCTAGTTTCATAAAGAAAAATATAACATAAACATGTAACAATGTTTTTGAATGCTTGTCATTTGTAGTCTTCGGGTTGCCTGGTTTATCTGTAAATTAATTTATGGCTGTCATCTATAATTAACCAATGGAACCAGATATCTTTAGAAAGTAAGACAGTCAAAAGCAGCAGGATATGTCTGGTAGAACTTACATGAGCATTATGTACCATGGACAGGCACCTGAGGCAAGAGGCTCACTCAGTGTCAGTGCTGCCTACAGTTTCCAGGGAAGGGGCAGAAGGGCAAAAGGCTGACATGCACAGGGTGTGCATCTATCTGTACAGTTCAGCATCAACAGAAAGAACTGGGCCAAGGCCTTCTTCCAAGGAAGAAGGGATCAAGATTTAATATCGATTGCCCATATTCTCACCATGGTGCTTCAGAGAGGTAAACACTTACCTGTACTGGGACTTGGCTTCACGGTAGATGTGATAAGAGAAAATATGAGAAGGTCTGGTTGGTGGAACTTAGGCTACTGAGAAGTCATTTTTTTTTTACATCTACTCCTCATTAAAAGTCTATTTACATAAAATAAAAATTTCTCATAATACAAAATCTCAAGAATCATACCCCCTCAAAATTTGTGTTGTAAATCCTGTGACTCATAGCTTCTTGTACAAAAGTTCTGAAGCCTGCCCTATTCTGAGCCAGTCTCATTGTCTCCAACAAACCGACCCTCACAACACCAGTTTCTGTATCAATCCATCTCATCCAGAATCTTCCTCTCTGGTACTGTCCCTCCACCCTTCCAAGCATGATATCCTTCTACAAGAACTGGTCCCTCCTGGCCACGTGCCCAAAGTATGTGGAACAGAGCTTCAAAATCCTAGCTTCCAAGGAGCAACCTGGTTTCACCCTCTCCAGCTTGGACCTGTTTGTTTTCCTAGCAATCCATGGTAGTATATTCAATACTCTTTTCCAGCACCACAGCTCAAAGGCATGTATATATTCTTCTTCTATCACCCATCCTTAGTCATTGTCCAGCTCTCTGATGTATAGCAAGTAACTGCAAACACCATGGACTGGATCAGGCGCACCTTAGTCTCCACACTGATAATATTGCTTCTCAGTACTGTGTAAAGGTCCCTGACCTGACAGATTCCCCAATGCAGTTCTTCTTTTGGTTTCTTTGTGCTGCCAGCACAAAGGTACATGATTTAAACCTACCAGCTGCTCCGTGGGAGAATGATGGAAAATTTTCTCCCATGTGATTAATGGTTTCTGAAAACCCTCTGGATAATCAACTATGGATCAGATCCAACTCTACGGCACACAATAATAACAAACAACTACTACTTTACTAAGAATGCTGTCCTCTTTCAAGGAAGGCTTTGCCCCTCCTGAGAACATGCCCAAAGCCTGTGAGATGATATCTCCCCATCCTCAATTCTAAGCAGTATTCTAGCTGTACTTTCCCCAAGATGGTTAGTTTGTTCTCTTTGTCAGTTTGTTCTCATCCTAATTTAAAGGCATCCTCACTCAATTCTTTGTTTTTTCCTTATTCATTGTATATGAGGCAATTGATAAAATGATGACTTGGACCAGGTGCACTTTAGCTTCAGTAGCGTATTTGTTTTTAAACACTTGCAAGAGATCTTTTGTGGCCTACCTGTCCAATGCAATACAGCGTTAGATTCCTTGATTGTTGTTTTCATGGACTTTGATGGTGGATTCAAGTTCAATGAAATTCTTTACAACTTCAGTCTTTTATCTAGTATGATGTTACTTGTTTTGATGCTTCCCCCACCCCTTATGTTGAGCTGTCATCCATACTGAAGGCTGGTCTTGATTTTTGTCATAATTGCTTGAAATCCTTTTAACTTTCAGCAAGCAGGTTGTTGTGTCATTGGTGTATCATAGGCTGTCATAAAAATATGACCATTCTACTTTTTGCCAGACCCAAAGCCATAGTATTTTCAGTTTTTTCATATGCATGTAAAAGTTGGAGAATTTAAAAAATTAAGCCTAAAGAAGTGATACCATTGAATTGTGGTATTGGCAAAAAATATTGACTATCACACAAGGTGCATATGATCCAGACCATGGTCTTCACAATTACTTGCTATGTATCACAGAGCTGGCCAATGACTAAGGATGACAGAAAAAGAATTGATATCTTTGAGTTGTGGTGTTGGAAAAGAATCTTGAGCACATCAAGAAAACATATAGTTCTGTCTTGGAGAAGGTGAAACCAAGTTTCTCCTTGGAGGTTAGATTTCGAAGCTCTTCTCATATACTTTGGGCATGTGGCCAGGAGGAACCCATCCTTGGAAAAGGACATCATGCTCAGAGGATGGAGGGACATTACAGGCCAGGAAGACCTTGAATGAGATGGATTGATACAGTAACTGGGACAATGGGGGTTGGTGTGTTGGAATCAGTGAGACTGGTTCAGGACAGGGCAGGCTTCAGAGCTGCTGTACATAGGGTTGGTAATGAGTCACAGGCGACTCAATGGCACAGAATAAAAACAACAATCTTGGAGGAAAGGCAACCAGGCTGCTCCTTGAAGGCAAGGATAGTGAAAGTTGCTCTAACATTTTGGGCGAGTTGTCAGGACATTAGACTGGGAAAAATAGAGTCAGCAAAAAAGAAAGATCCTCACTGAGAATAGTGATTATAAGAAAGGGCTTGGGTATGGCAGAGACTGGAAGGTGCAGGATAAGGAACATTTTTGACTGGTTATTGATAGTTTCATTACAAGTTGTAGTCACCTGATGGCACCTAACACATTTTTTGCTAATTACTTCCCTCCTTCCAGTTATTTTAGTAAGTGTGCCTTACATTTTCTTTTTTTTACAGCAACCTATAAAAAAATTAACATAGTGCTTAAGATACATTGTAGAAGGAAAGAATAGCTGGCAAACAAGCATAGATGGCTCCCATTATTTGAGTAAACAGAAACACATAAACTTTTTTCAGGTGAGAAATGTATATTTCTGATAGAAATACTCATACCTCATGGTAAGCTAATTTCAGAACAATTTCATGAGCTGAAGGGTATTAAAAAACAAGTATAGAAAAAAAAAACCAAACCACCACAAACCAAAACAAAACCTTACAATTCTGTGACCTTAATAACTTATCTTTTCCCACTCAGTTTTCTCATCGATACAGCATAATATCAGGTTTTCTCACTGCACAATTCTTTCAGCATTAAATGAAAAATATGGAATCAGGTTGAAAAGCATGGAACACACACACACGCACACGCACACACACACACGTAAGTGTAGCCAGAGTGCCCCTTAGAAGCAAGGATAGTGAAACTTCATCTCACACACTTTGGACATGTTGCTAGGATATGCTGTTCTCTCAAAAGTGGCGTCATTCGGAAAAGGTGGGAGAGCCAGTGAAAGGGAAGAAGACCCTCAACAAGATGGATTGACACAGTGCCACACAGCAGTGCGCTCAGGTGTGTGAGAGTTTTTGAGGACGGCACAGGATAGGACAGGGCTCAGATCTGTTATTTGTAGTGCCGCTGTGAATCGGACTCAATACTCAACTAGACGGCACCTACCAACAACAATACACACACACACACACACACATACAGATGTGTGTGCATTTCTTTAAATGTGCATTTAAATAAGTAAATAATTATTTTCTTAAACAATGGAAGGAAGGCATTTTGGGAATCGGATTCTATCACTAACTTGGAGATCCATCAAAGTCAAGGTTTCTCTTAGAACAATTCACGTTTTACGATGGAGTTCTTTGTTGTGGAGGGCAGTCCTGTGCACTGTGGGGTGTTTAGTAGCGTTGTTAGCCTCTGCTCGCTAGATGCCAGCAGGCAGCCATCCCCACCCATGAAAACCAAAGGCTGCAGACAGCACTGTGACAGAGAACCACTGTTCTAGATCAAGTCGTTTCCTCAGGCCTTAAACTCAGCAGTAAACTGAGTCGGCCTGAGGGCAAGTCTTTAAACCCTCTTCAGGCATTGCCAAGAGGCAAGGTGAGCACAGGCTTACTTGTTCTTATTGACTAATCTGCAGTGAACAAGTTCACATGCAAAGTAACGACTTTAACAAAAAAAAAACCCCAACCTACAAATTAGAAACTGTTCCCTATGGTTGAAAGGTAAGCACAGGCTTGCTGGTAAACCAACCTGCCTCCTTACCTGACTGCCATGTGGGGAAGCCTTATGACATCTGGATGGTTAAAAACAGGTATACTCATGGAAGTTTATTCTTGTTAAGAAGGTTAAACATTTACACTCCTATTTGAACTCTGCTTCCTCCTATTTACATATGTCCAGTTATGAAATATCAGCCGATGGATGATATTTTACTTAGACCCCAAGATGGATTTACCTTTGCGCACGCATGCTCTCTTTCCCACTTCTCTCTCTCTCTTCCTAAACTTTGTTCATATAGGTGTATTCAGTAAGGAGATTTGTTTCCTTTTAAATTATTTGGCTGAAATACCCACTCTACTTGCCCACAGGAATTCTCACACTTGGCAGAGCCAACGAGCTTCTGAGTTCAGGTGTGCCGGGCAGCTTTCTGATCCGAGTCAGTGAGAAGATCAGAGGCTACGTCCTGTCCTACCTGTCCGAGGATGGCTGTAAACATTTCATCATAGATGCTTCTGCAGACTCATACAGCTTCCTGGGCGTGGACCAGCTGCAGCATGCTACTTTGGCCGATTTGGTGGAATACCACAAGGTAAAAGGATTCACAGCATTAATTTGTTTTGTGAATTATCCTCCTGTAGCAGCTCTAACAATGAAAAGCAATTTTAAAAAACCAAGACTGAGACTAGTGACGGTGGGAGTTGTCTCTGATCCTCCTGATAATCAGAATACTCTTAATTGCATTTCTTTTATCATAGAACTTACTTTCTCTGCAGATAGAGAGACTGAGAAATACAGAAAATGCTAAGGAAAAAAAGAAAATCTGTGCACATACCAGGCATTCTTGAGAGCAGCCTTACCGTTGCAGTTTGAGCCCAGAAGGGTTGAGATGTCCAAGGGCATTTGGGAGTGAGAAGAATCACTGTTACGACTGATAAAGCTTAGCAGAAGTCAAGGAAATAAACACAGGGAGTAATGTTCTCTGGGGAGGGAGGAAGGGCATTTTGTTGTTATTTATACTCTTTCAGCTACCTGCCCATCCCACCCCCTCCTGCCATGTGCCTTTTCATTGACAGGTGGAACCCATAACTTCCTTGGGGAAAGAGCTTCTCCTTCACCCCTGTGGACAGCAAGACCAGCCGCCTGACTACCTGGAGCTCTTTGAGTGACAGGCTCCCCGTGTGCCGTCCTGCACCTCCCAGCTGGGCTTTCCTCTGGACTGCCACCCCAGAAAGGGACATTTGTGTGTGAAGCCAAACTCGCCTACAGCAGAGCCAATACCGATCAACGGAAAGTATTCCTGGAGGCCGTGTTGAGATCTCTCTTGACAAACTCTGGAACTTACTGCTGAGTGGCAGTGCCTCTGCATCACGTGTCCTCCCAGTGTGGAGGGAGAAGATTCCTGGCTTAAGCAACTAGGTACCATGAAGGACACAGCTGTAAAGATGTACATAAGAGACAATGAAGGCAGAGGGAAGGGAGGCCTTTGAGGGGTTCAAGTATGTCAAAGTGCCTCCGTTAAGTAGCTTGGGGGGACAGCTCTCTGACCTCTCTATTCTCTCTCAGCCTCACCCCGAGAGAACCCAGGGTCCAAGAGAGCCTTCTCCAGTGTCCCAGGTGATCCACAGTGCTTCCTCCACTTACTGTGCTTGGCCGGAGCCAGCATGGAAGAGATGTAGAAAAACAGAATATGCCTAAAAGAAACAAGAATTTTAAAAATGTGGGTGAGAGACTTGCCATGGACAAAAACACACAGAGCCTGTGGGGAAGGCAGCAAGCACCCACAGGCGGGTTTCCTCATGCTGAAGAAAGGGGTGGCGCTCGCCCTGCCTACCCTGCAGCACCATCCAGCAGGGAGGCTAGTAAAGCACACACACACACACACACACCAGGTGCTAGACTCAGCGAGTGGCTGGGATCCTACTTTATCAAATTCACAGAACCTGAAATGTGTTGTGTATCTATTTCTTGGTCCACAGTCTACCCTACTCAAAAAAGAAGTGGAAAAAGGAGGTGAGAGTAACTGCTTAACTAACTCTGCTTAACTCTGGGGCATATTTATGTCCAGTCAGGACCCTTGTGTCCCACTGCACACACCACCTCTCCAGCAACTCTCAGGCCAAGGGACAGCTCTTTGGGCAGTGACCCAGGAGGCTCTGAGCCACTCAAGATCATCCCTTCTGGGACGATAAAGGATTTATGTGTGCACATCAAACCTAACGCCCTGTGTCAGCACTCCTTCAAAGCACCTCTTGAAAATAGAAGAATGATCTATCCATTTGTTCATGAGGCTGTTGCTTGTATAAAACACACACTGACAGTGGAAAATGTAATCAAAGAAGAGGATGCCATGTGTGTGTTAATGAGAATGCTTTTAAACAGAGAGTCTCATTAAAGTGTTTCTCGACATTTTCTGTGTGGCTTATATTGTTAAACTATTATGAAAAGAATCTGTTTCTTAGCTTCTGCTTCTGTGATTCCACAATGATGGCCTCATAGAAGAGCAGAAACAGCACGGGGCTGAAAAGTTGTGATGTTCCTTTCTCCTTCCATCTCTTCTCTTCCAACTTTGTTTGGCTATATAATCTTGAACAGGTTGCTTTACCTCTCTGAGCAAAAATAAAACATTTTAATCTACGATCTTTATTGAAGTGCCTTGCAACTTCACAACATCCCGGGCTGAGTCTATTACTTATTAGACTAAACAGAAAAGATCCCTATGGTTGGTAAATTTTTAAATATATATCTAAGATTCTGACATCAACCTTAGTCTAAATTATTTTAGAGGGCATAAATATGGTTCTACTCAGAAATAAATAAACCAAGAGACACAAACACAGGAACGAATTAGAAAACAGGAAATAATCATACTGAATTAATATTACAAAGGCAGGATGCATATTTGACTTTTGTACTGTTTTATCCTGTTAGTTCTTGATCTTCACAGGAATAAACTGTCTAGTGTTCAATCAAATAATGGCCAAAAATAATACTTGAAATTCATACAAAGGGAGAATGGTTTCTAGAATTCAGAAACTGATTACAGTTTGTCAGGGTTGGTAGGGTCCAGATGAAAGGTGTGCTTTCTTCTCCATCTTGCCTGTGTCTGGTCGTTCCTCTGGACCAAAACGAAGATGTCCAAACCCCGGCCTCGCTCCCTGTCTTCTGTTGTCTCTACCAGCCCAGTCCCCTTCCTGCTCAAAGGCTCTTGGTCTGGAATGTGCCGCTGTTTCCTTACCAGTTAGGTTTCCAGGACAAGGAGTTCATCAGCTGCTGCTTTGAGACTGTGCCCATCTTCACTCCCTGTCCATGTTGATTCTTCTGTCATCTCTCTCTCTTAATTATCCTCTACCACACTCATACCAAATGTCCTAGCTGCAAGGAGACGCTGTTCCTTGAATGGGACATAAAACTTAGAAAGGTGGGTGGTCAGTGAAAGAGGAAGAGAAAACGACCCGCAACCAGATGGATTGACAGAGTGACTGCAGCAGTGGGCTTGAATGTGTCAGAGGTTGTGAGGACGGCACAGGACAGGACAGGGTCACTCGGATCTGTTGTTCACAGGGCCACACTCCACGGCACCTAACAAACAAAAATAAAACAGTCTTCGTATTTTCAGACCCACACATAGCGCCTCAGTGCCATCTGGGCAGCCGTAAGCCTTTGGGCCTGCGCTTCTTCCAGTACTGATGCAGGAGGAGGCACAGGAATGGTATATTTCCTCCCCTGGTGCTGAGCAATGTCAGCAAGTGTTACTGAGAGGTTCCAACCTCAAATCAAGAAGAGGAAAAGCACCAGGAGAGTTCAAAAGAAAAAAGATCAAAAGAAAGGAGGAGCATGTGAAGACAGCGACCCTATGAATGACAGCTCTGAACCCACTCCTGTCCTGCGCCATCCTCACACTTCCTGCCTAGAACCCAAGGCAGCAGTCACTGTGTCAATCTACCTGGCCCACGGTCTTCCTCTCCTTTGCCGACCCTCCACTTTTCCAAGGAATAGCTTTCCTAGGGCATGGGTGGGCTACTAAAATTGTCCCAAAGTCATCAGTACCAAAAATTGCCAAGTCACACTGATGTTTTTAGAATTAATCATCTTTTCAGTGTTAAAGTGTTTCTGTGTTAAAGTGGCATCAAATCTATTAGACTGAAAAAAAAAATCCAGACTAACGTTTTGCAGTTGTTATCTCCTGTAAAGGCAGCACAAGTCCAAGCATGTTTTTATAGATCTTTCAATTCTATCCCTTGGGCCTCCTAAAATTTGGTACCCAGAGAAGATACACAATTTACGTATAGGCTATGTTTGGATGGCCTTTGCATTCTTTTTTTTTTTTTTTAAGGATCTGGTTTTAGATTGTGTTTCACAAGTCTTTACCCAGCACATACATTTTTTTTTTAAATTATGCCTTAATTCTTCTATTTATATTGTGATTTTTCTCTTCCTTATTTGCTGTGTGTCATCAAGTTGGAACCACCTCACAGCTGACCTTCCAGTGGGTTTCCGGAGGCAGGAAATCACAAGGGAAGAAATTGCCCATCTGTCTTCTGTGAAGCAGCTGATGGATTTGAACTGTGTGCCTCTGGGATTGTAGCACAGCTTCTTACCACTAGGCCACCAGAGCCCCTTTCTTAGTAGTTAATAATTGTCACTTCAGTCTTTGTCCTTTGTCTTCCATTTTCATAAAACTATCAGTTTTACTGCACTATTTTTTTCTTTGCTTTTTAAGAGACATCATCTTTACTGTTTCCACATAACAGAGATATTGTTTTAAAAAAAATAATTTCGTTATCACTGCCTCCACTGGGAGATTTAAGCCCTATTTGCATTTTCTTTTTATTGCTATTGCTTCCCTGGATTGAAAACTACCAAGAGGCTTAAATGATCACATTTTTGAAAGGGTCTTCTTTTTAATACGTGGTAAAAATAAACTTGCTACTGAAATGTTATATAGTAAAAGAAGCAAGCCCAACAGGCCAGGATATAAATCCCAGCCAAGTCATTAACTGTTGTTACTTGTAATTTAAGTACCATGGAGTCACGTGAGACTTGCGGCAATCCTCTCTGAACCTGGCGCTATCCTGTACTATCCTCACTTTCTGCAATATACTTGATCCCATTGTTACAGTCACCATGTCAATTCAACTTGTGAAGGTTCCTCCTCTCCTACACTGACCCTCCCCCTTTCCAAGCATGATGTCCTCTCTGAGGACTAGCCCCTCCTAAGAATATGCCCAAAGTCTAGGAGATGAAGCTTCACCATCCTTGCTTCCGAAGGGCAACCTGGTCGCACTTGCTCCAAGACACACTTGTTTGTTGTTTCGGTAGTCCTTGAGATTTTTAGTACACTTTTCCAACACCACACCTCAAAGGTATGAATGCTTTTAAATATAGATTAATAACACTTGTTAAAAGTGTTTCTTGGCACTTTTATTTTTTGTATTGCTAAATTACTTCTCAGCTTCTGTTTCTAACAATGATTCCATAATCATGGCATCACAGAACAGCAGAAACAGCACAAGACAGGAAGTTAGAAAGTATTCTCCCATCTCTTCTCACTTACTTTGCTGTGTCATCTTGAACAGGTTCCTTTACCTCTCTAAGCCTTGGTGTGGTTTTGTTGTTTGAATTTTGGGGTTTCCCCCGCTCCCCCATATACCATTAACCAGCGTTGTGGAAACTAAAAAAAAAAAAATTATTAAACTCTGAATGTCGGCTTCCTTTAGCTCCCTCCGTGGGGGTCTGAGGAGTAAGAGACAATGTCATGGGTATAGTACAGAAAAATCTCTGCACAATAGTGATTCTTCCCAGTGAAGCAAGGGTCTCATAAAGACAGGACCCTGGCACTCCATGCTTGCCCTTCATTGACTCAGTTTCCATGGGCGATGCATCCTAATGAACCATTTTTTAGAGTTTCTGGGATGCACTTGAAGGAGGAAGGGGAACCCTTTAAAGAATAAGATATAATGATGAATTCACAATGAAAGCATAGCTTCAATTGCAAAGAAATGCTCTTAGCTTGGATTTGAAAGACAAAAAGGTCTGATTTTGACAATTCTCAAGCTTATCTTTACCTACCTAAAAGTGGTTATTGACAGACCAATGTGGGTCCTTTGGCTTCCTCATCACAAATCCCCAGTTCCGTGCCTCCTTTTTAACCAGAAGGCTTGTTACA